TTTCGAAGCTGGAGAGAAGCTGGAGTCTCTCCAAAAGGTGCCCCATGGATATGAAACCCAGACGCTTCTTTGTCAACAAGGCAATCCATGGCTATAGATCTGGAGGGCAAATTGCACTTGGCTCAGTGGTAAGTCTTAATCACAGATCCTGTTTATTCTTACTGACAGTAATGTACAATATCAGCAATTTTGCTTCTGAGACAGAATTCGTTGATTTAATTTTGTCAAATTTTTTTCAGTTGTGCAATCACAAATTCATTCCTGTGAGGAGAAGAAAATTAATAACTATGGACAAACGCCAAAGAAAATGGTTCTCAGACTGATTGCTTTTTGGCAAAGGCTGAGCTCAGGATTTACCAAGGAAAGTCCAGTTAAGTGTGACCCAAGAGGAAGAACTCAAGAGCTTTACTAAGCCTGGAAATAGAAATTTCAAGTTACCTTGTAAGGTATTTCAGAGAAAATTACATATATGCAAATATAGGCTGAAATGTTGTAAAAACTGTAGTTTCAGAAACTACTTTGATTTCTGAAGCACCAAGGAAATAAAAGATAGACAACAGCAAGTAATTTACCTTTTTGGGAACTAATATTGAGAAAATGTTAGTTAAATCTTCCCCAGGAGCTGGAGAGTATTATGCTAAATGAAATAAGCCAGTCAGAGAAAGACAAGTATCACATGATCTTATTTGTGGAATACAATGAACATAATAAGCTGATGAACAAAATAGATCCAGAGACACGGAAGGAACAGATTGACAAACATCAGAGGGAAGGGGGTTGGGGGGTGGGAAGAGATAAACCAAAAAACTTACATGCATATATGCATAACCAGTGGTCACAGACAAAAGTGAGGTGAAGAGGGGAGAGGGAGGAAGGGGAGGAGAGGGTGTCAGTTGGGAAAAAAAGGAGTAAATCTGTAATACTTGTAACAATAAAGATTAAAAAAAAAAAAATCTCCCCCAGGATCCTCTGGCCTGGATTCAGCTACCTAAGGCAGAACAAAAGAGAAAGTGAAAGGTCCTCTAGATCAGGTGTTTCCCAGGATGAAATTTAAAAGCAGCTCCCTTATCCTGTCTGTTCTTTAGTCTTCAGACTTAGATCACAATTTCTGGCACTAGATTTAAAAGCATCTTCAGAATAGAAGGGTGATCACATTTAGCCCCTTCCTTGCTTCCTTCTTTCTGTTCATTTCCTGTGGTCTTTGTGTCTGAGCCCCCAAATTGATTGTAATCGAATCTGAAGGCAGGGGCTGTGTCTTAACTCATCTTTGTATATTTTCTTTCAACCTTGTTGTCTGACAGTGTTTTTACTTATATATAATACATTATTGTTTGTTAAATAAAATTAAATACAAATTATCCAACATTTCAATTGCTACTGAGAAAACAAAGGGAGATTTGTGATGTGATTGACTTTGTTTTTAATGGAATGAGTAGTATATTTCAAATGCAAATAAAAGTTGCTTTAAAGGAGTTTGATGTTTTTGTCTCAATGATAGTTACCAATACCTTAATAATTACCAATACCTTAAAGTTTCCATATATTTGTAAGTCGCATAAAATGTTTTTCATCTTCATAGCTGCTACTAATGGAGTTAGAGTCATGAGTGAGGGGGAAAGTGTCTATGAATAATGCCATTATATGATATCATTTTTCCTTTGTCATTCACTTACCCCAACTTGGTATCACATCCTTCTACACCTTGCTTTTATTTATTTTATTTTAAAAAATATTTTTTCTTTATTGATTTTAGAGAGAGAGGGAGAGATAGAAACATCGATGAGAGAGAACATGAATTGGCTGCCTCCTGCATGCCTCCCACCAGGGACTGGGCCCAGGCCCACAACCTGGGCATGTGTCCTGACTGGGAATCAAACCGGTGACCTCTTAGTGCATGGGTCGACACTCAACCACTGAGTCACACCGGCTGGGCTGTTTTTTTTTTTTTCAGATCCTACCTTGTTAGGTCTTCTAAGAGGGGACACTAGTGATTGGAATGGTCTCTTTTTCTCTCAGTAACACCTTAACAACGACCACCTTTTACTCCATGGTGGGCAGTTTATTGCAGTCTCTAGGGCCCCCCACCACTTTTCTTTTTATCCGCATTCCCACAGGCAGCCTCTTTTGTCCTCTCAGAGGCACCAGCACCAGCCAGGCAATGACCTCTTCTCGGAGCTGACCAACTCCATGAGGACTCTCCAGCAAAACTCTGTGTTCAGTAACCTCCATATTTTCCCTCCGTTCTTCCAGCCTCAGGGGAGTGAGCTGCTTCCTGGAATTACTATCTTCCCTTTCTCCTCTTAGCTTTTTCAAGTTCTCCAGTAACTAATTAACCAAAAGCTTGTATTAAGTTTTATATGTTGAAAGGCTTCTGGTAGTTTCTGTTTTCCTGGCTGGACCCCAATGAATATACTTAAAACCTGAAGGGGGTCCAACCCAACAGGGACCCATTCCTGCATCTGCTGGGTCAGAAGACCTGAAGGAACAGAGTAGCCCGCACTGGCATGTGGACCTGCTGCACAGCCTGTTCTTGCTCTGGATCCTAAAGAAATCATCTATATTTATCTAGTCCCCTGCAGATGGATATTTATGTTGTTTCTAACTTTTGCTACTACAGACAATGCAGTAAAAAACCTCAACTAAAAATTTTTCACATAAGTATATCTTCTAAGATAAAAGTTCCAAAGTGGAATTGCTGGGTTAAAATTACCCTTTATAGAAGTTGTACCAATTTAGTCTCTTGAAGGCAACAAACACATTTATTTGTGTGAAAAACAGAGAGATTAACAAAGGGAAGAGGGAGCCAGGTATGGCACCCTTGTCCTAGTAAGAGGGCCTTAACTGGTAGAAGAGAGAAGTTCCTCTAGGTACAGAATGAGATCCATCATTTGAGGAATTACTTTCTGGCCTAGACTGCATGGACTTCACTTTGAGTCCTTTGGAGAGAAGGGAGGATAAGATACACATGGACAAGTTCTTTTCAATTCTTTGATACTCACTTAATAGAGGGTAACACAAAAAAGGGTGAGAGGCTTGCCACAGATCACCAACAGGGTTGGGCTGTCTGAGGAGGCTTCATGCTGTGCCCAGGGAGACTCAGTACGCAGCAAATGTGGCCAGCAGCAAGAGTGACATCTACAGATGTGTGGCTATTGGGATAACACAGCTGTTGGCAGTGCTGCTGAGCATAGTTTATGTGGTAGCTACTTCCTAAGGGACACCCCCAAACAGCTGGGTGGAACTTTGTAGGGGAGTGGGTCTGTTTCCTAAAGTATGGGAGAGTGAAAGAGCTGGTAAAACAGGTTACAAATGCTCATTTGCTAAGGTTGTCCCTTTTTTCATGTCTACATCTTTGCCTCAAAAAACTGGGGTAGGCTTTCATTTAAAAATAAAGTAAAATATGCTTCTTCCTATAACACATATTAGCAAACTCAGGTGGTGACTAAGTTATTTTTTCCATCTGCTGTTTGTTTTTTCTTGTCCCTGTTCAGTAGAGCTGGGCGACTGTAGTTATTATTGCCCCCGTTTAGTAGACAGGCTACATTCCACATGCTTGTTTTACTGAGTGCACCATTGCATCATATGGTCACAAAGCAGTGCTCGGCCAGAGCTGCGTCTTTCCCACCCTGTGAGACCTCGGCTGCCTTCCTGCAGAAGACTTCGTTTTCTGTTTCACGAGTCTTGTTAGTGCCGTTCTTCATTTACACGGTAGAGATGCTGTCATCACCAATGAACATTTTTCAAGGCCCCCCTGGAGGCATGGCACATTGGGAGTAGTTTAATATTCTCTTTGTTTCAGATATCAGGTGGATCCTTCCAATGAATTTTTAAGCATCTCAGTGATGATGAAGAACAGAGATATCAATCAGGATTTGGGAAGACAAGCCTTTGCAGAGCAGGCTTAAAAAAGAGCATCAAGGATTGGTGTTAATATTTGAAAGTTTTCTTCAGCCAACAGATGACAAAAGTAAAAGGTATTGCATTCATTGTTTTTGGAAGAAGCCTGGCCCCATGCCATTCAAACATCTGTCCTTTGACTGTGGCATTTCCCTCTTCACCTACTCCAGTCCTCTAATCTTCAAGGTGGAGTCTATTTCTTCTTAAGGCAACTTCCAGTCATCTCTGCCCTTAGAGATGATTCCCTCCTCCAATTCCCATAGCCCTTACCACTTATACCTGTCATTTGGAAATTTACCACAGTATGTTATTACTGAAAAAAAAAGTTAATTCTCATGTAAACTACGGGAATGTCAATGGGTAGAATCACAAGAAATAGTTTTTAATATCAAGTCTATTAAAATGAAATGGAATTAAATAAAAAAAGGGTGAGAGGGGAGACAGTTGAGACTCACAAGCATCACTAATTAATGTTTTCTAATCCAAGAATTATTTGTACATTTGGAAGGGGCGGGGATTGTGGGAGGCAAGAACACCACTGGAAGTCAGCAGTTTGTCCTTCAAGACTTAATAAAATTTTTTTGCCCTGCCTAAGCTGTCTTTATTTTTTGGCTTATCCCTTTCGGCGTGGCAGGAAGTCGGCTAACGCGGCTTTCGGTTGTAGGAACTGATACTCAAAATAGACCTGAACATTTCCACTTAAGAAAAACAAACATTCGGGTCCGCCATACATTCTAGAATGAAGAACACACCTTCATGCTTTATGACGTCAAGAACCCTGGCCCAGGGAGGACGGCGACACACAAATTCCACCACCACCGACACCCATTGTCGAGCGGGAGCGAGCTCTTCTCAAGACGAAGCTCCCGCGGGGCCCCGCCCACTGCGGTTCCGAGAACCTCATTGGCCGGCCTTCCGCCCGCCATCTCTATTAGCCCTAGGGATTTGGCACGGGAGGCGGGCGTCCCCCTTTCAAGCAACGATTGGGGAAATCCTAATGACGGCAAGCAATTTTCCAAATTTCTATTGGCTCTTAGGCCTCAGAATGGGCGGGGAAAGGCAGAGCGACAGGGCTCAAGGAGGGATGCGCGGAATGCGCCGGCGCGTAGTCGGGGACGCAGGCCGAAGGTTTTTGCTAGGAAACCGACTGTTGTTGCCCCGCCCCCTCGGGGCTTTTTGTCCCGTTAACTGTCGGAGTGCGGGGGGCTCCAGCGCCGGGCGACATGCCGGTGCGCTTCAAGGTGAGGCCGGGGTTCCCGGGCCCGAAGGCTGATGGGGGGAGCCGTGGCGGGGCGGGTGCGGGGCGCAGGGGCCTCCCTGGCTTTCTGTGCCGCGCCCCTCGGCCCCGCAGAGCCTGTCAGCTCCGAGCCTGCCTGCCACAGCCCTGGAGGATGTTCGTCTCCTCTTACCGAGCTCCCTCTCGGCTCGCACTCACTTCCGAGTTACCGTGAGGCAGAGTAGATGGTGTAGAGATAGGTTTGGGAGACTCCGATGAGTGGAGATGGAGGGAGAGCACTTTGTAATGGGCTTCACATTGGGACACTTGTGGCCCATCTCACAGTGTAGCATTTAACGCCCCCCCCCCCCCCCCCCCCGTAAAACTTGAACGTATGTGTGTCTTTTAAAGGCTTGAGAAATGAGACCTTGACAGGATCCAAACAGGGTGTAAGACATACACATTATGCAGAGTTGTGCATTTGGCTCGTTAAAATTTCCAGGTAACTGACACGGGCAAGCACCCTTCAACATAACAGTTGACCAAAGCTTTCCACGACCTGGGCTGTCTTAGCTTTTATTATTTTAAGGGTTTGTGTCCAGATTGGGAGGGGAATGTGTCTTTCTTCAGTTGACTTTACAAAATTTCAAAAGGTACTAGGTATAATACATAATATTGTGTACTCAGTGAGACTTTATTAGGATAATTATAGTGATGAGGATTTAGATCAAGTCACTGGTATTGGAGAAGAGCTCAGGCTTTGGAATCAGACAACCAGCAAAAGGGCAGATGTTCTGAGCCTCCAATTCCTGCTAGCATCTGCCTCAAGTGGTTGTGAGGATTAAAGGATATAACACATGTAAACTGCTTAGCACAGGGCTGGGTAAATATTAGCTATTATTAATGTGCTTTTTTTGGTTTAATTATCAATCTTAATTCTTGCAACCCTTTTCAGTGGTTCAGAAATTATTTTTCCTGATGCCTGCTTTAAAACAACGTTCATTAATTACATTGTACTCAAATTGCACTTTGCATTTCAGGGGCTGAGTGAATACCAGAGGAACTTTCTGTGGAAGAAGTCCTACTTGTCAGAATCCTGTAATTCCTCAGTGGGGCAAAAGTACCCATGGGCTGGACTTAGATCAGATCAATTAGGTAAGTTGGGCAAACTAATAGCCATTATAACTTGAATAAGTCTTGGGGTAAGTTTGCAAAATGATTAAAAAATTGTGAAGCATGGATCAGTTGGCCTGGTTGACTTATGCACTAGTTTGACAGATATTTATTGAGAATTTACTGTAGGCCAGGACTATTCCTAGCTTCTAGGGATATAGTCTCTAGATAGACAAAGACCCTTAACTGTAGGGACGAGCAGTGAGTAAGTGACTCAATAAATAAAAGAGGGGATTTCAGGTTGTTATTTTGAAATTGTAGGCTAGCATGATGGATAACTTTGGGGAGGGATGGATTGGAGGAAATATGCTTTAGATTTGAGCCTGAGGACAAGTACTCCCAAGGTGTTGAGGAATTGAAGCTTAGATAGATTAAGTAAGTTGTCCAAGGCTCAGAGCTAGTAAATGATAGAACCATGATTTGAAATCGAGTCTGTATGTTCAAAACCTATGAGTTCAGAGGCCACATTCTTTTTTTTTTTTTTTAATCCTCACCCGAGGATATTTTTCCCATTTTTTGTACAGATAGAGTGGGAGGGAGAGAGAGGAAGGGAGAGAGAGTGAGAAACATCGACGTGAAGGGACACATCGAGTGGCTGCCACCCGCACGACCAACCAGGGCCGGGGACAAACTGCAACCGAAGTATGTGCCCTTAGCGGGAACCGAACCCGGGTCTCTCCGGACCGCAGGCTGACGCTCTAACCGCTGAGCCAAACTGGCCAGGGCCAGAGGCCACATTCTTGTCATCATACATGCTTCCTCCCTGGGAAGTCAGAGCCCTGGGCCAACGTTTCCCAGAGCGTGGTGGAGGGTAAAAGAGACAGACTGAATTGATTCTACCTGCTTGCTTAATTCTCCCTTACTAGAGTATAAGATCCATCTGTCTTCACCATGTTGTTACCATGCAGTACCTGACACACTCTAGTCTAGTGCTTATTGAAACTAATTTCTGAATGAATGAATAAACCTGAGTTTGAATCCATATTAGCTGTGTGACCTTGGGCAAATTTGGCCTGTTTCATGAAGTGGGATTTAGGAAGCACATTGCATAGGATTGCTGGGAGGGATTAAGTGAGATGTTACCTGTTAAGGGCCAGGTGCATATACACAGATGAATGTTTGGTGCCTCATATGTGACAGGTGTGAGAGTGCCTGACGTGTGGTATATAAGTTCCTCAAATGTTAGTTAGATGTTTTAAGTCAGGAAAAGGACAGGCTTATGAGTAGGGTGCCAAGCCTGGGAAATTAGTAAAATGAGAGTGTTTCCAGGATTAGGTTTGGAGAATAAAGGGAAGAGTTGACTTCCCTTTATATAGAAGGATGGCTCTTTTGGGGATCCTTTGACGTATCAGGATCCTTTGCCCAGAGCCTGACTTCAAAGTGTGGATGTCCCTGCTTCTTGGGCAGGGTGGTGCTCATAATCCTCTCCAAATGACCAGAAATTCCACAAATTTGAGGCTCCATTAGATTAAGAATCCAAAATAAATCTCTCTTAAAGTATGGATGCTCCACTAAGGGCCTAGAGGGATATTATGACACTGGGAAATTGGGCAACCAAATAGTTACCTCCATGGCATTTTAGCTTAGATGAGGTGTATTTGAGGGTTAGAATGATACATTACAAATGGAGGAGTGGTCTAGGGGAGGCATGTTAATGAAGAATATTAGGTAAGGGGGAGGCAGAGTGAGAACTCTAGGATGTTCATAAAGGGAGGTGGGAGGCTAGCCAGGAACAACAGCAGTGTTACCTAGGACTGGCTGGATGTCCTGTTAACAAGGTGTATTTTTTCCCCATAGTTTATTTTTACTGGTGCTGGGAGACAAGGACAGGCCACTTGAGACTTTTCCCCTTTTATTTTGCTCTTCTTCCAGAAGTCCCTCTCTGTGTTAAAGCAGAGAGAAGTCTAGGGCAGTGGTCTTCAAACTTTTTAGCTTTTATACTCCTTAAAAGAACTTAGAAGGTCTTTTTATTCTTTCACATTTTTAGGTTGATATTTAATTAATTTATTTTTTACCATAAGTGTGACAAATTGTTTCAAAGAATGTGATTTCTGGTATATTAAATAGTGTACATGTATTTGACATATATTTTGTTAAAATTGGAGCTGCCAATTTAGCTTATTCAATTTATAGTAAATGTTCATCATAGATATAATTCGTAAAGTTAGTCCTTGGCAAATCTAATCAAAATTATTTTCTGTGAGAAAAAAAAAGTCTAACTTTTTCAGTCCACGTAAATATGTAATATGTATATATGAATTTCACATGATGATACTCTTACACCTGCATTTTCTAAAATAGGTAGATGGAAAAGGTGAGGAGCTGCATGAAATAAGGTGCCGTTTCTTTGTTATTTCTAATCTCTGCCTGCTTTGCTTTGCTGTTAGGAGTTATGCTTTCTTGAATGGTCCCTTTGTTTTCTTTCCCCACCTATGAGACATTTTTTATTCCCTGGGGCTGGTTGAGAGGTGTGTCTTTCTTTTGTGAAGTTGGAAAGTGGTGATTATGAAAGGGGTGGTGGGAACTAAAACTACAGATGGCAGATGCATTTCCTAACAGATCAGTGTCAGGAAGTAACATATGGAAGTTAGGATCTGGAAAATGATTCTCTTAAGCTGCCCATTTCTGCTCCCTCCCCCCTCAATGTCTGTATATCCCCCCAGACATATATGCACCCAGTTTGAAGACCACTGGTCTAGGGAAGCCTTGTCAGGGTGGAGACTCTGTGTTCAATGTTCAAAAACATTCATGATAGAGGCTAAAGAACTATGGGTTTTATTTACCTCATGTCGGATTTTCTGTCCACCTCCTTCTCCTACCTTTCCCTTCCAGTCTTATCTTTCTTCCCCACTCTGCACAATCTTCTTTCTATTTAAAGAATGGACCCAAACTGGGGCAGTATCTTAGTGGCTGTCATTCCACCGAGCTCCTCTTACCTGGGAAGAAGGTTACGTTTTTTGGACATCTGCTTGCCAGACAGAAATATAGAGAAATAGTATCTTAGCTCTTGTTAAAAGGGTTCATTCTCTTTAATACTCAGGAAATCAAGGCAAATGTAGAACCAAGATCCAGCATAATGACATCTCATCCCTTCTCATCTTGGTCTGCTCTGCATAAGAGAAGCTTTGTGAAAAGTTCCAAATTTTGACAGTACCAGGGCCCATTGTTCGGTTAAGTAGCACAGGAAAGTAATTAGAAACGGAGGCAGCGTATGCTGCCTGACTTGCCAGGCCCATCACGTTGCGGTTCTAGTGACTTGTGTGAGGATAACTTGAACATTGTGACCCCAATTTAATTTTTTTTATGGCTAAACTTTTAATATTTCTTTAAAGAAAAATTAAAGATTTTATGTTGAAAAACTGTATTTATATTCTCAACTGCATTTAAAATTTTCTCCTCTCATAGGTGTTATTAAAAGTTGTCTTTGTAACTTTATGTTTTGGTAGCTACTACTTTTGTACACTATATTTTGTAGGAATCACTAAAGAGCCAAGTTTTATTTCAAAAAGAAGAGTCCCTTACCATGACCCACAGATTTCAAAATCTCTTGAGTGGAATGGAGCTATCTCGGAGAACAATGTGGTTGTATCACCAGAACCTGAAGCCCCAGAAACACCAGATTCACAAGAGGCAGAACAAAAAGATGTTAACCAAGAAAGAGATGTTGCACTAGAAGCCTCCAAGGTTTCCAAGAGAACCAGATCTCACTCTGCAGACTCCAGAGCTGAAGGGGCTTCAGATATTGTGGAAAATTATAAGGATGTAACAACAAACCATATACCAGTTAATGAAAATGTGGAACTGGGACATTCTACCAAGCTTCTCTCAGAAAACATAGATAGTAGGGTAAGTATATTCACCGTATTTCTTTATGAAAGCATAAGATTCTTTGTAGATTACATCATCATTTCAGTTATATTACATTTTATGCTTAAATTTTTTCTATTTTCTTGTCTATAGAATAGTTAACGAGGCTATTGACTTTATCGTGAATTAGTTCTATTCTTAATAGTCACTTTGTACTGGTTATACTAATGTATTTCTTCACTGGGTGGACAACTTGCTTCTGGATTTTATTCATCATATATCAGCATCTGAGTCCTAAGGGAGAGATCAAGTTGAGACAGAGAAGGGGAGTAGGTCACTACCTCTGGCAGGGATGGTGAGCTGACTTCTACCTAGGCTCTTTTCAATTTATTATTGTATACCAGCAAGGAAAAAACAAAATCTCAATTGATGAATGCAAAAGAAAGGAGAGTTTTGGCTGGATCTCAAAGGTCTTGCCGTGCTCTCTTATGTCATAGCTGGCCTGCAGAAGGTCCTTGCGAGCACATAAGCAGAGGCTGCAGGGACCTGTGCAGACATCTCACTGCCTCCCACGCTTTTCTCCATTCCACTGCGCTTCTTCCCCACTTCGTGTCCACTGCTGGCTGGAACCACGGAGAAGCATTTAGAGTGTTGGAGAAGAACCCATGGCTTGTGAAAACCAGTGGGTGTAGGGGAATGGAGGAGGGTGATGTGTAAGTCTGGCTAGCAGGGGAAGGGATGTCCCAGAAGCAATATGTGGATGAAGGAAGGGGCTGTTGCTTCTTAGTGATAGATTTAATTATAAGTAATTGGTAGGAAGGAACTGAGAGATATTAATCTTTTTCTGGGATGCATAATTCTTGACAATATTAAGAAAAATTTTAAATAGTCTGACAATTTAAAAGAGAGATTATTTATCAATTGAGAAGAGTTGTACAACAATGTGGATATAATTAATAATGCTGTACTGTACACTTAAAAGTTTGTTAAGGGTGAATTTTATGCTATATTTTCTTTTACCACAATAAAAAAAACAGCAACAAAAAAATGTTTGAATAGAAAATTTTAATGACTTTGAGTGGGATATTTTTCCCCTAACAGTTGGATAGATTTCTGCAGAAGAAAGCTGGATTGACTGTTGTTCCTTCACAAAGTGTCTTGAGAAATTCTGAATATCAAAGGCAGTTTGTTTGGAAGACCCCTAAAGAAACTGCTCCAGTGTTTGCAGCCAATCAGGTAGTTTAATGGATGTAATATATTTTTGAATATCATCATTTAATCTAGTTATTCAGATATAAAAGAACTAATTGCTGAAAGAAATTAGATACTTCAGGAGACCTGGAGGTAGGTTCTAGAGAAGTGAAAATGAGAGTCTTGCTAAGATTATTCTATTACTTGTGATTTATAGTAGTAATACTGTACTGTCCTAGTAGTAGTACAGTAATACTGTACTGATGGTCGTTGTTGCTAGATCCATTATATGTACTAAATATGAGACAGGGTAATGACAACTTGGGGACTGGTAAGTTTTTGCATGCTGTGAATTCTTTTATATTTAAAAAATATCAAATAGGTTTTATTCTAAAATGTGTTTAATTCACTAATATATTACATGTTTTCTGTCCTCTACAAAAGGCATACCTGCTTTGGATATTTATTTTAATAAATACAGACTATATTGATAGTAACAGAAGATGTATAATTTTATCCTTTTATTAAATGAACAGTAATAGGAATTCACAGTTTAACTATATACAATTCAAAAGCTATTATGATAACTATATGTGATACTAGATTCATTGTACCCTTCCACAGTGTTAGTATTGGATTACCATCACTAATAAATACTCTTGTTTTACTATTGTCATCTCAGTTCTTAGGCTCTTAACTCTCATTTACATTCTTTTTTTTTAATCCTCACCCGAGGACATTTTTCAATTTTTTGTTCAGGTAGAGTGGGAGGGAGAAAGAGGGAGAGAGAGAGAGAGAGAAACATTGACGTGAAAGGGAGACATCGAGTGGCTGCCACCCGCACAACCCATCCAGGGCCAGGGACAAACTGCAACTAAGGTATGTGCCCTTAGCGGGAACCGAACCCGGGTCTCTCCAGAGCGCAGGCCAACGCTCTAACTGCTGAGCCAAACTGGCCAGGGCTCATTTACATTCTTAAATAAACTCCTAGGCCTAGGTAGGAAATACTTCCATTAAGAATGTACCCAGTTACTCATGACAGCTCAGACTTTTGTTTCTCATCATCTGTGTTTTTCTTTATCCACACACACACACACGCCTACCCATGCCTTCACATACCCTCATGCTCATTTTCTCCTGTACCTCAATATTCATTATAAATCTCTAAGTACTGAGAGGATAATTAGATTCAGCAAGGCAAGAATATCAGTCATCTTATACTAAGATAATAATACCAGTGATCCTATACATTGTGGAAGCTTTGGGCTTATTTACTGGTTACTCAGTTTTACAAAAACCTGAAAGTTATATAACATTTTAGGAACATATAAAATAATATAAAATGATATGTTCTCTTTATGAACTTAGTAAATAGGATCAGTACTTGTTTTGCGGGCTTATAAGAATTCTTGGCTAGTAAATGTACCTAGAAAATTACTTAATACCTGAAAATTGTGAATTCTTCAGTTTTCATAGAATATTTCACCTTTAAAATAGAGATGATTAAAATTAAAGTCCTGTTAATAACTTTTAGTGAAAGTATTGTATAAAAATGTTCTTTTTTATAGGATTAGAAGTATACCATAAATCACTAGCAATACTTCAGTGGTTTTATTGCTTTCTTTATGAGGGAAGCAGATACTCTTTGTTACTTCAAAGCATATCAGTTTCATGGTCTGAACTGAAGAGCTCTGAAGAAACTGAATGCTTATTGATGGGGAACCTCTAAAGGAGCTGTTTAGTTCGGTTTTATCAGATACCTGTTTTCTGAAAGGATGTCTTCTATTAAAATGTAAAGGAGTCAGAGCAATTTTTGGCAGAAAAGTACTTGAGGTTATACTGTATCTTAAAAAGATACACTGTTTAGATTCAATATGTATAAAGATGTACTATTCAGAGTTATAAAGAAATAATATACTTTATTTGAGCTTCCACCTTTTTTGTTTTCCTTGTAAACAGTAGTAATATACCATAAAATGGAAACCATATTATGAAGTATTAAGGATAAAAGGAAACATTTAAAAATAGAAACATAATAATCATGTGACTTTTCCCTTGCCTTAAGCTAAAAATAAGCAAAGAAACAAAAACTAAACAAATGAACATACCAGACATTTAAAATGTTAAGCATTTTCTATTATTGCAGGAAGGAAAAAAATCATGTTGAGGGGAACATACCTGTAGAGCTGACAACAGAATTGCCTTGTAAAGCTAATGTCTATGTTCATATTATTGAAATATGTCTACTCTACTAATCCCATTACCAAACTGATGAGACACTTTGAGGAGAAAAGATATGGTTCATTATTTATTTTGCTTAAGCATTATTTTGATTTCCGTAGCTTTTATTCAGAACATAGTAGTAATGACTATAGAAAGTTGACCTTTGGATTTTTTTCCAGCTTTATTGAGGTATAATTGACAAAAATGATATATTTGTGTGCAGTGTAATGTTTTGATATATGTATACATTGTGAAATGATTACCACAGTCAAATTAACACATCTATCACTTCATGTAGTAACTTTTTTTGTGTGGTGGAAACACTTGTGTTCTACTCTCTTAGCAAGTTTTAGTCATACAGTACGGTGTTATTAACTGTAGTCACCATGCCGTACTTGAGATCTGCAGAACTCATTTGTCCTGCATAATTGAAATTTTGAACCCTTTGAACAGCATCTCCCCATTTCTCCCACCCACTAGCCCCTGGCAACCACCATTCTAGTCTGCTTCTCTGAGTTTGACTTTTATAGAATCCACATATAAGTGCACTCATGCAGTATTTGCCTTTCTATGCCTGGCTTATTTCAGTTAGCATATATTCTCCAGGTTCATCCATGTTGCAAATGACAGGATTTTCTTCTTCTTCTTTTTTTTTTTTTAAGGCTGAATAATATTCCACTGTATACACATGCCACATTTTCTTTATCCATTCATCTGTCAATGGACACTTAGGTTCATTCCATATCTTGGCTATTGTGAATGATGCTGCAGTGAATAAGGGAGTGCAGATATTTCTTCAAGACACTGATTTCAATTCCTTTGGAAATATACTCACAAATGGAATTGATGAATCTTATGGTAGTTAGTTCTGTTTTTAATTTTTGAGGCACCTCCACACTCTTTTCCATTATGGCTCTACTAATTTACATTCCCACCAAGAATGTACAGGGGCTCTCCACATCCTTGCCAACACTTATCTTTTGTATTTTTGATAACCATTTTAACAGATGTGAGGTGATTGTCCCACTGTGGTTCCGATTTACGTTTCCCTGATAGTTAATGATGTTAATCACCTGTTTGTATACCCATTGGCCATTTGTATGTCTTCTTTGGAAAAAAAAAAATCTATTCAGTTCTTCTGCCCATATTTAATTGGATTTTTTTGAGTTAGATGAGTTCTATTATCATATATTAATACCTTATTAAATATATGATTTACAGATATTTTCTCCCATTTCATAGGTTGCTTTTGTTGATGGTTTCCTTTGCTGTATAGAAGCTTTTTAGTTTGATGTAGTCCCACTTGTTCATTTTATTTTATTTTATTTTATTTTTTGTCCTCACCTGAGGACAGTTTTGCATTTATCCTCAGATAGAGCAGGAGGGAGAGAGGGGGGAAAGAACAGAGGGGGGAAGAGAGAGAGAGAAACATTGATGTGAGAGAGACACATTGACTGGTTGCCACCCACACGACCCCAACCAGGGCTGGGGACAAACCGCAACCAAGGTACATGGCCCTAGCAGGAACTGAACCTGGGACTCTGGTCTGTGGGCCGATGCTCAAACCACTGAGCCAAACTGGCCAGGGCCCGTTTATTTTTGCTTTTGTTGCCAAATCCAAAAAAATAATTTACCAAGACTAATGTCAAGGAACTTACCCCTATATTTTCTTCTAGGAGTTTTATGGTTTTAGGTTTTATATGCAAGTCTTTAATCCCTTTTGAGTTGATTTTTGTGTATGGGTTAAGACTGTGGCTCAGTTTCATTCTTTTGTGTGTGGCTGTCTTTTCTTGCCAATATTATTTATTGAAGAGACTGTCCTCTTCCCATTGTATATTCTTGGTTGCTTTGTCGTAAGTTAACTTACCATATATGTGTGGATTTATATCTGGACTCCTTACTCTGTTTCATTGATCTATGTGTCTATTTTTTTATTTAAATTTTTTACTGTTGACACTATTAGAGATGTCTCCCATTCCCCACCCACCTTTGCCCACCTCCACCTAGCCCCCTCCTCCCTTGGCCATCCCCACACTATTGTCTGTGTCCATGGGCTGCGCATATATATTCTTTAACTAACCCCTTTACCTTCCTTTATCCAGTACCTCCCCAGCCCCCTGCCCTCTGACATTTGTCAGTCTGTTTCATGTATCTATGCTTCTGGTTCTATTTTGTTTGTCAAGTTTATTTTGTTTATTAGATTCTACATGTTAGTGAGATTGCATGTCATTTATATTTCTCTGACTGGCTTATTTCACTTAGCATAGTAATCTTCAGGTACATCATGCTGTTGTAACTTGTTGTAGATTAAATAATGATATTCAAAAATATATTATATCCATTAAACTACCTGATTGGTTGTAAAAACTGGAGCAGTTTCTTTAGAGATCTTCCAAACAAACTGCCTTTGATATTCAGAATTTCTCAAGACGCTTTGTGAAGGAACAACAGTCAATTCACCTTTCTTCTTCAGAAATCTACCCAATTGTTAGGAAAAAAATCCCACTCACAGTCATTAAAATTTTACATTCAAACGTTTTTTTCTTTTTATTGTGGTAAAAAAACCCAACGAGATATATATATATATATATATATATATATATATATATATATTTATTTATTCATTCATTAAATTCACCCTTAATGAATTTTTAAGTGCACAGTACAGTATTATTAATTTTACAATAGCATGTTGTAAGAGTTCCTTATTTTGTACAGCTGCATAGTATTCCATTGTGTAAATGTGCCACATCATTTTTTATCCACTCATCTACCAGTGGGAAGTAATGCTGCTATGAACATAGGGTTGCATATATTCTTTCTGATTGGTGTTTCGGGATTCTTAGGCTATATTTCCAGAAGTGGGATTTTTGGGTCAAAAGGAAGTTCCATTTTTAATTTTTTAAGGAAACTACAGTGTTTTCCACAGTGGCTGCACTGGTGTCCATTCCCATCAAGAGTGCACTAGGGTTCCCTTTTTCTCCACATCCTCACCAGCATTTGTTGTTTGTTGATATATGTGTTTATTTTTATGCCTCTTTGCCCATTTTTAAATTGGGTTGTTTTCTTGCTGTTGAGTTGAGTTCTTTAATATATTTTGAATAGTGACCCTTTATGAGATCTAAGGTTTGCATATATTTTCTTCCAGTGCTATAGGTTGTCCCTTCACTCTGTTCTTTTCTTTGCGGTACAGATGCTTTTTAGTTTGATGCAATCTCATTTGTCTATTTTTGATTTTATTGCCCTTTGGATGTTAATTAGACATATGAAATGAAATATATAATTTGGCCTTTTTTATATCCTGTGATTCAACTTTATGTGTGAAATTTATTAAGCTATTGAAAAACTGAGTTCTGTATATTTAAACAACAAAAACCTAAACTAAAGTAATCTTTGTTTTAAGGTTTTCCACAATAAAAGCAAATTTGTTCCACAATTCAAAGGTAACTCAATAATCCATGAAACTGAATACAAAAGAAATTTCAAAGGTTTATCTCCAGTGAAAGAACCAAAATTAAGAAATGATTTGAAAGAAAACGGACATTTTGAAACAATATCGCCTGAAGAAAAGGTACTTGTCAACTCATTAAACAAAACAAAATTTTCATTTTAGACTCTTACACATATTTTTTTCACTTACCACCACTTGAAATTTTGTTTTTCGCTAGTTCATGAAGTCATTTGTTTTATCATTAAATGGCAGATGTTCATTGAGTACTTAGTAGGAGCTGGGCATTGAGTAGCTACTGAGAATACAATGGTAACCATGCTAAGCTCTAAGCAGCTCTTAGGCTGATGGGGAGACAGAGATGTAAATAGCTAGAGATGTAAATAGCTAAATGTAATACAGTATAATGAGTGCTTAGCAAATACAGCAGGTTAAGTCTGCTATGTCTGGCATCAAATGATTGACCTTACAGTAATGTGGGCTCCACAGGAAACAGTAGTGACAGAAACACATACTTTAAACAATGGAAATCAAACACTAACACACATACACACATGTATTTTAAACCAAAATTTTAGTATGCCAAATTGTAGCCAGTGTAATTCACATGATTTACCTTAGGATATATAAACACTTGCTTCTGTGTGAAATTATAGCTATTTAAATTGCAGCATCAGGTTAAAATTTTTATAAATTATAAGTAAATGGGATATAAGCCCTATTTTTTAATCTGGAATGTCATACTTGATATTTTATCAGCTGTAAAAATAGAAATTATATGACTAAAAGTAAAATTTTATATATATATATGTGTGTGTGTGTGTGTGTGTATTTTTTGGACCTATGATGTTCTTGGAGAGAAAAAAGAATGATTAAGTTATTCAGTAAAGCAATGTGGTAACTTATTAATTGGAACCTTTTATTTTATTACTGTAACACAATTAAATGTAAATTTGGAATATTGAGGGCAAATGTAAGATCACTGCTCAAATGATAATAATGTAAAGTTTATTTAGATATTTATTTCTTAATTAAAACTGTTTTTCCTAGCCAAGGAGCTAAAATTTTAATCATTAGAAAATGAAACTATATCCTGAGCTATACTTAAAAAAAGTAACCATATATACTAGTTTCAAAACTTTTTGATTTCTATGTTATCTTTAATATTAAAGCTTGTAATTGTAATACAAGCCCCAATTGTAATACAGGATCCAAGTATACGTTATAATATTTATGCTTTCACTTTCATGTGTAAAATATTTTTAGCATAAAAAGTTTACATTTTTTCATTTTAGTGTAATAAAACAGACGATTCTTTAAAATTAGAAGCAGAAATGGAATCAAAAGACTTAAATCAGCCTAAAAAGAAGTTCACTCCTTGGAGACATCAGAGGCTTGGGTATGTACTTTATAAGATAAATAGAGCGGTATTAGATGATTCTCATGGTGAAATACTTACTCTTATTTCATTTCTATTAGAAAGGTGAATTCTGAATACAGAGCAAAATTTCTGAGCCCCGCCCAGTATTTATATAAAGCTGGGGCATGGACATGTGTGAAGGAAAATATACCAAGTCAGGTGAGTATACATAAACTCAGTAAGCCCACATTTTCTTTGAGCCTTTATCAGCAATATATTTAGTAATAGAAACAATTTAAAGATGTATGATACAATAATAACAACAAAAGTATCAGGAACTTAAAGTTGTATGTATTAGGGTATAATTTATCAGTGGGTTTACTTTTTTAAAATACCAGCTTGCTCCTTAGAGATTAATACTTATTATTATAAAGTCTTTAAAGTTAAAAATGTTTTTTTTTTGCAGTCAATATTTGATTGTGTTAATAAAGTTAGTTTATAGGATTATAGATTGATAGATTTGATTACTTTATAACATCCAGACGTCTACCGTCACAACTGAAGATTAATTAATTTTCTAGATTGTCTGACAGTAGTAGCCCCTATCATTGTGTACAGGGAAAGAGTGGCCTGTGCTGATAAGAGGTTTGAGTTATGGTGTTGGGATACCCTGACTTATGGGAGAAATTCTGAGGATCCTAAAGAAAGGTTTGAGGGAAAGGATAATCCTTGAATTGTTAAGTGCTAGTTTAGTACTAACTTCTTATAGTTAAAGGATAATCAGTGGAGCTTTCTCAGTTATTGTATACTTAGCATCTTTTAGACTGTATCTTGAGGGTTTTCTGACTTTTCTGTGTGAATTAGCTAAATTAAAACATTTTAGTTTAGATTAGACATCAGTAAATACTCCCTGCCCCTATCGTAAAGAGAGGGATAATTTGGATGGGGAATGAATCTTTTATTTACCTCCATATTTAAAACCATGGCTGACAATTACATGTCATCAGCTTCTGGGGGAAGGTGTTGGTACTGTGAGCTGCTGGCTTTTTGTACTGTCAGCTCCCAGACCCATGTCCTGGTGACTCCTGTGCTCTGAATGCTGTTTCAGGGGCTTACTTGATTCCTTCAACCATGGCGGCTCTCTACTTCCCCACCTGAGCATGGCTCAGAGGCAATACAGGCAGAGTAAGAGACAAAGCTTAAAGCTGTCCCAGATATTGGGGGCAAAATGTATATATTCACCCTCATGAGATCAAGTTAAAAATATGTGCATTGAGCAGTTTATGACCATAGCAGACCTTGGCAAGGAACTCTGTGTCTGAGCAGTCTGCTGGGGAAATGGGTAGCTGGGGGCAAAGGCAGAGCACGGAACGTGGCCATGGAGGTCTAGTGTAGTGTCAGCCTTTCAGCCACTAGCCTGTCCTGTTTGGGTGCTTCACTAGGTTGGTTCATGAGAAGCTCCTTGTTTTGGAAAAATTATCTCTTAGTCTCTGAGACTTCTTTAAGAGGAGGTGGTATTTAGACCTCAGATCTAAACATTTAATGGACTGAGAAGATCCCTGTCTATAGTCATGATAACTTGACAGTCCTTATCCTGCTCTGATAGAAGAGAAGATTTTTGTTGTTAATTTAAGATCTGTCTTTTCAAGGTTTCCTATTATGATGCCTTGGTAATGTGACTTTTGAGGCAGTTTGTTTTATTAATTGCTATTGGTGGTTGTAAATATTTAAATTAGTAGTATAGTTTGCCTTGACCTCTATGGGCAAAATAATTCAGTAAGTTGGAGTCAGAAAAGAATAAGAATTATTAGTGCCCTGGCCTGTGTGGCTCAGTTGGTTGGACGTCATCCCATGTACTGAAGAGTTGCTGGTTTGATTCCCTGTTGGCGGGGGCACATATCTGGGTCGCAGGCTTGACACCCTCTGGGGGGCCTGTGGGAGGCAGCTGATCAATGTTGTGCTTTCACACAGATGTTTCTCTCTTCTCCCTTCCTCTCTCTCTGAATATCAGTGAACTGTTCTTAAAAAAAAAAAAAAGAATTTTTAGTTAAGAGGTCAGTGATCATTGATGGTGATAAATGTCTGTGACCAAGTCATAGACATTTAATATGGCCATGTTTTATTTAAGCCTTAGGTTTTTTTTTTTTTTTTTTTTTTTTTACTGGAAGACATTTACTATATGTGGCTGCTTATGAAGTATCTAAATGTAATATTGAGATACTTCATAAGCAACCACATCCTATTATTTCATGACATATGCACTTAGATATCAATGACTTTGTTATCATTAGAATGTTAACTCATTTTTTGAATCTTGTTACAGTTTTCTAGCCCATATATCATCTTCATTTCCTTCTGTGTTGTTTGAGATATTACTTCTAAAATCTATATTCTGCCCTGGCCAGTTTGGCTCAGCGGTTGAGTGTCAGCCTGTGGACCAGAGAGTCCTGGGTTTGGTTCCCACTAGGGGCATGTGCCACACACACACAAAAAAAATAAATAAAAAATAAATAAAATAAAATCTATATTCTACTCGCTGGGTATTATATTCTAAGTCCCAAGTACCTATTCAAATAACATCAGGGTAATTGGTTTTATTTATCCAGTGGTTGTTTATTTCTTATCACCGTGATATAAATGCTGGCACTGTTGCTTTTTAAAATGCTCACTTAAAGGATCGTTTTTAATAATAATCAGCAATTATAATTGTTAGCTCCTATCCTCAGAATAGCTACTGCATCTATGTTAAATTTCCTTTTTTCTTGATTAAATTATCTAATACTTCAAAATACATTAGTTGACATAGTGTATTATATTCATTTCAGGTTTACAAGTTAGTGATGAGACATTTATATACCTTACAAAGTGATCATACATAGTTATTACAATATTATTGACTGCTGTACTTTATAGCCTTGTGACTTTTTATAATGACAACTTGTACTTCTTAATCTCTTTCACTATTTTTACCCTTTACCCCAATCCCCTTCCATCTTATGACCATCAATTTGTTCTCTGGGTAATTTTTTTCTAATGTGTCTTTCACAGATAGGGCTTTATTTCAAGATATAGTTCCACATTCTATAATTTGACAGACATTGTAAGGATTACTAAGCATAAGGATGACTCCTCGTTTTTGGAGGATGATTTTTGAAAAAAAAAGAGTTTTTATATTTTGCCCCAATTTTCTAAATTTGAATTTTTTGTATATAAACTTTAAATGATTTTGTTAAATTCTCAATTGGGGAAAAGACATTCAGAAATGAAAACATTCTACTCATAGTGCTTATTATATCATATAATCTGATGACATTACCTGTAAAGAGATGTGTGTATTGTTTTAATTGAGTTTGGAATGGTTTATTTATATCCTTTTTAGTGCCTCTGGGTCTTGTCTGTAGGGATTGTTCTTAATAATTGAGTTCACATCATTGTTTTGTTTTTTTTTTTCTTCTTTATAGTAGAACACCTTACTTGGAGATATCAATCACCTGATTTTTTACCTTAGTTTAGGGTTATATAAGTTTAAAATTATGTATTTTCAAAGCATAGCATTAGCACTAAGATTATTAATAAAGATTGCTGATAAAGTACATTTAAAACATTGTTTTGAATGTCAATAACAAATAGAATTGAGTAAACCAAAGTTTTACAGTATTTCTGTATCTTCTCTCCCTCCTTTAAAAAATCGATGTCAAATAACACTGGATTACTGTGTACATGGAGGGGATATTTGTCCATCTTCTCATTTATCAAACAGTAAGGTCCTCCCACATGGACAGCATGCAGCCTTCTTGGCTGCTCCTTCCCACTCCACCCTACACACAGTACAGAACCGATAGGCCCCCCTTTTGATCCACTTCTTCTGTTTATATCTCACTTGCTTATTATGGCATAAACCTTACCAGTATTATGATAATAACTTATCATAGAGGAGGAGGTCTGCTTCTTTACCAAACAGCACATTGAGTACAGGGACTTTCTTGCTTATCTTTGGCTACCAGCCTTTTAGCTCAGGCCTGGCACTTAGTCCACACTTGGGACAGGTTGTGGAAACATTGTTTAAATGCTGCATTCTTCCTCACCTCAGTGAGTGTATAGGTTAATAGGAGAGAATGACACCAACAATGAATTCCAGTAGGATAAAATAAGTACTAATGCGGATATGTACTACGGGCTTTAAGAATACAGAGTTGGAAGCGATGCTAAGGCTTGCAGATTTGATCAGGTAGGTGATGGAGTAGCCATGAAACATTTGAAGCATAGGGTATGTTTTAGAAATAAAATCTGGAGTATATCAAGTTATACTAACGTTCCTGTGTGTTCAGAATATCTTGGTTAGTAATTCAACAGACTCAACCAGGTGTCTCAGTTCTACCTGTTAAATGCAAAAACCACTACAGCCCGGGCCGGTTTGGCTCAGCAGTTAAGAGTGTCGGCCTGCGGTCTGGAGAGACCCGGCTTTGGTTCCCGCTAAGGGCACGTACCTCGGTTGCAGTTTGTCCCCAGCCCTGGTTGGGTCATGTGGATGGTGACCACCTGATGTGTCCCTTTCATGTCGATGTTTTTTTCTCTCTCTCTCTCTCTCTCTCTCTCCCTCTTACCCTATTTGAACAAAATATCGAAAAATGTCCTCAGGTGAGGATAAAAAAAACCCACTACAGTAAGTCCTCACTTAACATCATTGATGGGTTCTGTGACTTTGAGCAAAACTACGTATAATGAAACCAGTTTTACTAATTGATATAAACAAGAGTAACATTCCTATGGCATCTCATCAGTGTTACAGTGAAATGACGTTGGACAAAACGACATTTGAGGACCTGTTATACTTGTAATTTTCTTCACAGTATAGGAGTTGACAGAAATGACAAGTGAACTTGGTTCAATTTTTTTTGGCAGTGAAGAAAACAATATTTAGAATTATTTTTTAGTAATGTTTCAGGTTTGGTTCATTAGAGCATTTATATGGTTTCTTATGCCATGGTGGATGCTGTCCTTTGACTTTGGCTAATTCCCTAGAGATATAATATTCTTCATTTGCATTCAGCAGTGTCTCGTTGAGGAGCTGAGAATATGTTTCTCCAATTGGTTTGCAATGCTAAGTTTTAGTATTTGCTTTGTTGTCTTTAAGTGAACGCAAAGCAATTTAATCAGACAGTATCCGGATATCCTTTTAATGCTAATATTCCATCTTTATGATAGAAAAATATTAGTTTTTTGAGAATAAAGATTATGTTATTTTAATTTTTATTGAGGTAACATTGGTTTATAACATTAAACAGATTATTTTAGAAAGAATTTTGAGGTGCAATTTAATTTTTTTACATTGTGGACTTGTGTTTATGGAAGCCAGCAGGTGGCAGTATGATATATAAAATGAAAGGGTTTCAAATGTGACTAAAGGCTCCATTTCACATGCAAATATGCTATTCACATAATAGGGAATTCAAATCGCTTTATAGTTCATCAGACCTTTTTTTTTTGTATTCTGTCACTTGTTGAATATATTACAGTTTTGTGGTATTAAAAAATTAGTATATATTTAATACATTTTTTTAAAAGTTGAGGTTTTGCTGATTCCAAGGAAATGTTGAGGAATTTGGAGGGGGTAGCCTCATAACTCTTTCATTAGGGGCTTCTATATTGATAATAACTGTATATAAAACTAGGAAGTTAAGACTTAGGCTAGGGGTTTGGGGCATTTCAGTAATCATCCAGGAATGAGGAAATAGGGGTAGTAATTAGGCCACCTGTCATGGACAGCATCCCAGCCAGGCAATAACGTGGCTGGGTTTTGAAGTAATATTAACATATCTTGGTTGCTGAATTATATATTACTTAAAGTACTAAAAAGATTTGGTTGACAAGGTTGGTATATATATTTAGAAGGAAGAATAATAGGTATTTCATTGATTTTCATTAATATTCAATTATGGCATTAACCTGTCATTAAGTATGTTTCTGTATTCCTCTCCTAGGGTTCTCTAAATGCCATGTGGTATGCAGAGGTTGGTTGCTTTTGAGTTTTTAAAAAACTGTAATAATGCTTAGACTACTTGTGTAATTTCAGTTGAAATAAGAAGTAGGTGTCAATATTTTTCTTAGCTGCTGCAGATTTCTCCCTGCCTGCTGGCTTGAAATAACTGCATTGCACTTGAGCTTGACTGTTTTAATTTCTGCTTAAAATGCACATAGTTTGATGAATGTATGTGGCTATTTCTGCCTTCCTTTTTCTTTGGTCTTTGGCTGTATGTGTGCAATGTCTTTGATATGTTTCTGGGTAATGTTTGCAAAGGAGCATTTACAGTAATATGTGATGTCTTAACTCATCTGTGTAGGTTAAAGAACTCCGAGAGAAGGCCGAATTTTATAGGAAACGAGTTCTGGGCACCCATTTTTCTCGGGACCATCTGAATCAGATTCTGTCTGATAACAACTGTTGTTGGGATGTCTCCTCGACCACGAGCTCAGAAGGAACCATTAGTAGTAACATAAGAGCACTGGATCTTGCTGGGTGAGATGTTCTTTGTGTATGGTGAAAAAGTATGTTGTAGCTTATGTAGCTTATATATAGGTAAATGACATACTACTCAAAATTCATCTTCTACTGAAATGGAGGTATGCCAGCCACTTACTATATTTTATTCTGTTTAGATTATTTTCTGAAAAATAAACCTAAACACTTGTGTATAAATAATATATAATGTAAATCTGGAAGACGGGATTTTATAATATTTCTTGTTAACAATTAAAAGTAAAATAGGAACAATTATACAGCAGTTGTAAAAAACTTTAAAAGTAAGCTATTAGTACATATTCATTATCATTTATTAATAAATTTCCATGGTTAATATGGAACTTAGGTCCTGCTTCTATGGGAGAATGCTCTGTTGGGTTTTAAAGTGAAAATATTTAGCTTTTTGAAGAGAAATAGCACACTGATTTATAGCAAATAAAATAGTTTTTAGTTGTTACAGTATATTAATATAGTCATACATACCAAGTTGAACTGTAAATTCTAATTATGTGATATCTGATTTTAAAAGTTCATCATAAAATCTATTTAGTAACGTCTGGAAAAGATTAATCTGCCTAAAGTTTAAAATTTGAATTAGATTACTAGATCCACAAGTACACTCAAGTTTGTGCACAAGCTCTGAGTAACTGCACAAGTTAGACCATGTGGGGTCCTAGTTTATGTGTATAAATGCCGGTTTAGGGGACATGTGTGAGTTTTGTCAGTAGTGGTGCAGGCAAGTATGTGTGAAAGTAGGAGTCAGAGGAGATAAATGTATTTATTTTGGAGTATTTTAATGTCAACTGCAGATCATAACTTAAATATATTATACTATAAAATGAACTCTTAATTAGATTTCTTTCTTCAGTGTCTGAGAAAGGCAATATCTGTGGGAAATGTAATAGTTGTGAATAGTGGAAGGGAATGATGGACTCATTAAAATTAGTATAAACTAGAAACCACAAACTACTCAAGTTTAAAATAAAACTTATTTTGTTATGCAGAGATCCTACAAGCCATAAGACTTTGCAGAAATGTCCTACAAAATTAGAAGAAAAAAGACCTGTCTTGGAAGAACAGCCTCAGAAAGTTACCACAGAGAAATTGGGCATGTCAGAAGCCCCCACCATACCTGTTAGAAGGCGTCTGGCTTGGGATGCAGAGAACACCAATGAAGATGCACAGAAACAGCCCAGAGAGGAGGAAGAGGAAGAGGAAAGGGAAAGGGACAAGCAGGTTTATATGGGAGAGTTAGAGAAGTTGGAAGTACATGAAAAACCTAAGGCAGAGAAGATAAAAGAAGGGTGAGAGTTTTAAATTAATCAGTATATAGCATAATTATTGTACACACTTAATATGAATTTTGTTTTGTCACTAAGTATAGTAGTCTACGATTTTGGTTTTATGCTAAATAAAGAGCAGATTTTATTTAAATGTCAGGAAGTAGGCATTCTGTATGGTTTATAATTTGGTTAGGTCAGGTATTTGAGTCACCTGAACTTCACTTATTTTCATTTTCAGTCACCTGCTAATTATTATTTGCTAGATTGGTAAATGTGTCTGGAAGAATGACTTTCTTTATGATTTAAGGAAAATAGTTCAGCTGATATTCTTTTTTTTTTTTAATCCTCAACCGAGGACATTTTTCCATTTTTTGTTCAGATAGAGCAGGAGGGAGAGAGAGGAAGAGAGAGAGAGAGAAACATCGATGTGAAGGGACACACTGAGTGGCTGCCACCCACACGACCAACCAGGGCCGGGGACAAACTGCAACCGAGGTACGTGCCCTTAGTGGGAACTGAACCCGGGTCTCTCTGTACCGCAGGCCGACGCTCCAACCGCTGAGCCAAACCAGCCAGGGCCAGCTGATATTCTTAAGTATCAAATGGTTATACCAAAAAAGAAAGACAAGATAATGCTTTATAAGATTAAAATAAGTGATTTTGGCAAATAGCGAATTCCTATTGATTTATACGCAGATTTCTTTGGGGAGTGGTTCTCTACTATTGATAATGATGCTTTTTGTCCATAGTCCAAATCCCTTACTGTTTTTTCATGAGTTTTGCAGTTAATATGGGACTTAGGCCCTGATTTTTTTTTTTTTTAATCCTCACCGGAGGACATTTTTCCATTTTTTGTTCAGACAGAGTGGGTGGGAGAGAGAGGAAGAGAGAGAAACATTGATGTGAAAGGGATACATTGAGTGGCTGCCACCTGCACAACCCAACCAGGGCCGGGGACAAACTGCAACCGAGGTACATGCCCTTAGTGGGAACCGAACCCGGGTCTCTCTGGACCGCAGGCCGATGCTCTAACCACCGAGCTAAACCATCCAGGGTTAGGCCCTGATTTAATGGAAGAATTCTTTGCTGTGTTCTTACTAACTTGCAGTGACCTTCCCTCTTTTCCATTGTACAGTCACTCTTACCTGCATGTGGATTTATTTATTTTTTAGAAACAAAATGGTCTTATCTTAAAAATTTTATATTTTATTTTTGCATAATGATGGCATGGTATTTTTTATTGTATTTGCTTGAGGAAATGCTTCATAATAGATTATTTTAATTGTAGGTCAGATTCTTCTTCTGTATCCTCAGGAAAAGGAGGCAGGCTTCCTACTCCGAAGCTGAGACAACTTGGTGGAATCCAGAGGACTCATCACGATCTTACCACTCCAGCTATTGGTAATAGGCACCACTGTGCAGCTCTTATTTCACCTGCCTCTTCTACGTGAACATTTTGTTTAATTGAATTCATCATGGGCCGCGTTTTTCCAGGTGGTGCTGTTTTAGTGTCTCCATGTAAAGTGAAGCCTCCAGTCCCGGAACAGAGTAAAAGAGTATCTTCTCAGGATGGATTAGAAACTTCAAAGAATGATTTTAGGAAGGTAAATATTTCTATTTTGGGGAAAAACATCTCTTTAGGAAGTGATTTTTAGTCACATATAATGAATGATAGTTTCAGATTTTAGAAAATTTTAAGCATTATATGTGGAGACAGTTTGTTAACCTATTTTTAGTAAGGCAGAAGCATTGAATTGTTTTTTTCTGGTGTTGACCTTGCATTTCTGCTGATATAGTTTCAAATCTTGTCAGTAGTGACTCAACAGGAAGATAGAGAAGAAAAACAGTTCTATTTATTGAGTATCTAATGTGTGGCAATTGTGTACCAGCTCTGTTTTAGCACTGGAGATACAGCAGTGACAGAAATCCTGGCCCTTGTTGAACTTACATTCTAGTGGAGGAGACAATAAACAGGATAACTAGGTAAAATACATAGCATGTTAGATAGTGATAAGTATTAAGAAGAAAAATAAAATAGGGAATGTGAATTGGAAGTGGCCAGGAAAGTTCTCACTGAGAGGGTGGCATTTGAGCAGAATCCGAAGTTGGTGAAGGATTGACCATATGCATATCTAGGAAGGCATTCTAGGCAAAAGAAGAGCAAGTGCAAGGTCCCTGAGGTGAGAAGGTACTCATTCCTTGAGGAGCAGCCAGGAAGTCAGTGGACTGAAACAGAGAGCAAGAGAGGGAGAATAGTATGGGCAATGAGTTTAGAGGCATGATGGGCCACTAAATTATGTAGGGCCTTATAAGTGTTAGAAAAGGCTTTCAATCTTATTCTGAATGAAATGGGAAGTCTTTGGAGGGCAGAGGAGTGATATGAGTCAGTTACAACATCCAGGCAAGAATGATGGTTGTTTGGATCATAGTGGTAATAATGGAGGTCATGTGATAAAGTCTTATTCTGGATAGTCACCGAAAATATAGATGATAAGATATGGGGTGGAAGAAAGAGAAAAATCAAGATGATTCAGAATTTTTGGCCTGAGCAATGAGGATGGAATTGCCATTTAACTGAGTTGGAAATGACAGTATGAGGAAAAGATTTGTCAGGCAAGACCAGAGTTCTGTTTGGGACATGTTCAAGTTGAGAAGCGTATTAGACATACAGGTAGACATGTTGAGTAGGGAGTTGATTGAGTTTGGAGTGCAGAGGAGAGGTTGGGTTGCAGATATAGATTTGAAGGCTCTTTATTATGTAGGTGGTACAGGTATATGAGGTCTTGAGTCTGGTGAAGGTCATCAAAGGAGTGGATTTAGACAGAGAAGAGTAGGTGTAGACAAGTGTGAGCCCCAGGTTGTTGATATTGGGAAGTTGAGGAGTAACCAGCAAAGAGACTGAAGAGGAACAGCCATGAGGTTGTGGGAAAAAGGAGACTGTTTCCTGTGATGTCATGGAGGTGTCAAAGAGGAGGGAGTGTCATTGCTACTGATGGGTCAACATGAAGGTTATTGATAACCTTGACAGAGGGCAGTTTTGGTAGTAGTGTTGGACAAAAGCCAAAATGCATGTGAATTTAAGAGAACAGAGAGGAGAGGAGTTGGAGACAGCATCGCAGACAATTCTTTCAAGAGTTTTTTTCCATGAAAGGGAGCAGAGTAAGGATTGGGAGTAGGAAGAGGTGAGATCAAGAAAGAGGAGATACTAGCACATTTGTGTTATTGATGAGGACAATTTTAAAGAGAAAGAAAAGGTGATGCAGGAGTGAGGAAAATTGTTGGAAAGATGTTCTTGAGTAGGAGAAAGGGCACAGGGTCTGGTGGAGATGTGGACGGATTAGCCTTAAGCACTGTGACAGTTCCTTCATTGTTAAAAAGGGAAGGCAGATGAAACACAGGAAAATGTGGGAGCTTTTGGAAAGTTTCTTTTGTGCTTGACGAAATATAAAGAAAGATCTTGGTGGGAATGAGGCAGGGGAAGAACATTTTGGAGGTTCGAGGAAAGAGAATAAGGCATGAAATAGTCTGTTCAGACAGTGGGAGAGTGAGTGCGCCAGGGAAATGTGAGATAATGCAGGGCAACGTCACTGGGCCATTTTCAGTTAGTAGTCACAGATGTGATGTAAGATAGGTTGTGTATTTTTCTCCAGGCATGTTTGGCCGCAGAGGTGCAGGATAGGTAGAGAGCTGGATTTAACTGGGATTCATGTTTTGTCAAGGGAGTAAGACCAAGTGAGAAAGGGGGTAAGGGTGTTAAAGTATATGCAGGACTTGTTGGACTTGAGTACCTGTGGGGATTAGTTTTAAAGTTAGGGGGTGGTGATCAGAAATTAAGGTTATAAAACGGTTGCAGTTACCAGTAATGACAAGGCTTAACATGTAATCATGGGAGTAAGTGGCTGAAGAAGAATAGAGAACAATCATAGAAGAGATTGAATTTCTCTGTTTCTCTAGGGAATTTTGCTGAAGGCTGTTCATAAGTTCCAGAGGGCACAGTGGAGAGTTAGTAGGTATTGGGAAGAGGTGGGGGATGGGATCAGAGTCCAATCCCCCACAAACCCAGTACTTAGAGCCTAGCTGATAGCTATTATCCATTAAATATAAGTTGAAGGGGTGTTATTGGAGTAACAGAATATTTAAACTATTTCCTGTTACTTACATATACATTGGTTATTTAAAAGAAATGCGACAATAGGAATTCAGAGGATTGATGAGAATCAGATTTAGGACTCTTTTGCTCCCTGTGGACTATTCTGCTTCTTCCTCAGGAATCCAGCCCGTCACGCAGAAGGAGTGAGCTTCTAGTTAGCTTTGCCCACAGGGCTGACCACCCTCAGCCAAAATGAGTGGCCCTAATCCATACTTGCAGCTGGATGTATATGTATTATTTTTATTTATTGTGGAATGAATTTTTTAAATAACTAAATAAAATTATTTTAATGAATTAAAATAGAGTAATATTGCCCTTCAACATTTTAATGCCAATCTCCACCTTATGTATACAGCACAATTGTAACATTTTAATTAAAAACTCCTCTAAAATAAGCAGGCTTCTTATTAACCACTTGATTAGAACTCCCTCGATGTGAAGTTTCTGCCATCAGCACTACGAGGGACTGTATCAGGAGCTAGATTTTGTTATTTCCCTTTGTCTACCCCTTGATTGCTGGGAGGCAGCAATCATTTTTCCCCCTTTGTTTTCTTAAAAAAGCTAATATTATAATAAAATTGAATAAGTTATTTAGTTTCCAATAAATAATTAATATCATTCTACATTTCTTTTTACCATAGAAATTAGGGAGAAGATATTATCGTAATATCCAGAAATATTTTCACTGTTCACTTTTAATGGCATACTTTGAGTTGTGAGATAATTTTGGGGCAGCAGCAAATTGGGTAACTTATCATAATAAGCATTATGATTATCATAATAGGTAGCATTTCCTGAGTGCTTACTTTGCTTAGGTCCTGTGCTAAGTACTTTACATATCTTTATAATAACTCTGGGAGGTTGGTATTGTTATTCTCATTTTTAGATGATGAAACTGGGGTCACACAGCTGCCAAATGGTGTAGTAGAATTTGGGTCCAAGCAGTCTATTCTGAGAACCCACATTTTTAACCTTTGAACAATACTGTGTGAGAACTTTAGAGTAGAATACTCATGGTATTGTTTTTGTTTTTTTTTATCCTTACTTGAGGACATTTTTGCATTTTTGTTCAGATAGAGTGGGAGGAAGAGAGAGAGAGAAACTGGCTTGCCCAAAATGATTGATGGGGGTTGCTATGCACTGAGTAAGAGAACCCTGGACCGGAACCATCATTGGAGAGGACTATCAGGAGTTTCATTTTTAATTCACTCAATTCAGTATTTAATATGCTCTTGCTATGTGCCAGGCACTGTTTGAGGATCTGGGGATTCATTGATATCAGGACAAAATCCCTGCCCTTGTGGAGCTTGCATTTTTGCTGGGAGAAATAGACAAATTTTAAAAAAGACAATTTAAGGTAGTAGTATGCACTGTAAATTAAATAAAACCACAAATGACTTCCAAGGGATGGATGAGGCTGCTTTACTTTGGGCCATCAGGGTAGGTAACTCTGAGGAGGTGGCATTGTATCTAAGACCTGACGAATGAGGGAAGCACCCATGCAGAGATCTGGGCCACAGCTTGTTTTCCAGGCAGAAAGAGCAGCAAGTGCACATGTTTAACAGTGAGTTTCCAAAGAGAGTAAAGAGAAAAGGCCCGTGTGACTGGAGCCTGGAGAGGGAAGCAGACAGGGTGGGGAATGAGGTTAGTAAAGGGAGGCGGGGATGTTATTCTTATGGCACTGGGAAGCCCTTGGAGGATTGGAAGCAACAAAGCAAATATAAATCTGGTTTACATGGTAAATAAAATCACTCACTGCTCAGTGGAAAATGGACTGTCCGGGGGGGAGAGTGGAAGCAGTGAGGCCAATAAGGAGGCTTTACGCTCAAAAATTGATCACAAAGTCAGTTAAATTAAACCTGGGAACCCTCTGTGTTGAAAATAATCCCACAGATTTCATTCAAGTCTTTTTAACAATAGTAAAACCAATTTGGCAGAGATCTCAGATTCTGAATATATATATATATATATATATATATATATATATATATATATATATAAAATAAAAAATCAAAAGAACAATTTTCCTAAGTGATACATGTAGTTAAAAAAGGGAAGCAAGAAGATCTGTGGTTTTTATCTTAGATCTTGATTTAAAAATACATGTTTGTGCCCTGGACAGTTTGGCTTAGCGGTTAGAGCATCGGCCCGTGGTCCAGAGAGGCCCGGGTTTGTTTCCCGCTAAGGGCACGTACCTCTGTTGCAGTTTGTCCCTGGCCCTGGTTGGTTGTATGGGTGGCAGCCACTCAATGTGTCCCTTTCACGTCGATATTTTTTTCTCTCTCTCTCCCTCCCACTCTATCTGAACAAAAAAATGGAAAAAAATGTCCTCGGGTGAGGATAAAAAAAAAAAAAATACATGTTTGTTGGATAAGACCCTAGGCCATCTCCTCTTCGAAGCAATAATCACTTTAATTGTAGAAAATGATGTCTAAGGTCAGAAAGCAGTATTGTGATTATTGCATTTATAAACTCAAAAGTTAATAACCAAAGGCAATAATTACAAGGAACAATCAAGAAAATTTGGAACTGTATTTGATTTTATTGGTTTACATTCTCTTAAAAAGTAAAACTATACAGGGACTTTAAGGATAATGATACATTATCATTGTGGAAGGTGAAAAATACCAAAAGAAAATAAATGATGTCACACCTACTCTTCAGGGACATCTATTGTTGAATTTTTGAGATATTTAAATATATAGTGTATTTGTTTATTATACTGTAGATAAGGCTTTATAATCTATTTTTTTCTCACTTAGTAACGTATTGTGAACATATTTCCATATAGTTAAATATCATTTTTATCTAATTTTTAATAACATGATATATAGTCTATAGTTTTAACCAGATGCTTATTGTTGAAATCTATTATTATTATTTTTTTAATCCTCACCTGAGGATATTTTTCCATTTATCTTTAGATAGAGTGGGAGGGAGGGAGGAAGAGAGAGAGAAACATTGATGTGAGAGAAACACATCGACTGGTTGCCTCCTGCAGGACCCCAACCAGGGCTGGGGACGAATTCCAACTGAGGTACGTGCCCTTGACCAGAATCAAACGCACGACTCTTTGGTCCCCAGGCCGATGCTCCAACTGCTGAGCCAAACTGGCTAGGGCTGAAATCTTTTCTTTTTTTTTTATCCTCACCCAAGGACATTTTTCCATTTTTTGTTCAGGTAGAGTGGGAGGGAGAGAGAGGAACAAAGAGAGAGAGAGAAACATCGATGTGAAAGGAACACACCGAGTGGCTGCCACCCGCACGACCTACCAGGGCCGGGGACAAACTGCAACCGAGGTACGTGCCCTTAGCGGAAACCGAACCCGGGTCTCTCATGACCGCAGGTTGATGCTCTAACCGCTGAGCCAAACCGGCCAGGGCTGAAATCTATTTTTTAAAAGTGGATGCCTATTGTTATTTCTTAATTTTCCTATTAAATTTTTTTTATTTATTTTTTTATTGATTTTAGAGAGAGAGGAAGGGAGAGGTAGAGAGAGATGGAAACATTGATGAGAGACAACATGGATTGGCTGCCTCCTGCAGGCCCCCTACTGGGAATTTAGCCCACAACCTGGGCATGTGCCCTGATCAGGAATCGAACTGGTGACCTCTTGATGCATGGGTCGATGCTCAACTACTGAGCCATACCAGCCGGGCTTAATTTTCCTATTTTAAAATCTACCCTTTAGCTACATTTTTGTTTGTACTGTTATTATCTCCTTTTGTGTAAATACCCCCTTAGTATTATGTAGTCAAAGGATTCAAAATTTTAAGGAATGTGCTATGTTTTGCCAACTCCCCCAAACACTGTGCTCCCAGCAACACTGTAGTGCTAACTTTTTTGCATCCTTGCCAGCTCTGGGTATTATAGTTTGTTTTTTCAAAAAGTTATCTTTATAATTTTGGAGGTGAAAAATTAGTACCCCAGTGCTTCTATTTTGAAATTATTTGATCATAAGTGAAGTAGAATATCTCTTACATTTATATTTTTTTGTATCTGAATTGCTTATATATCTCCTTTCTCTACTTTTTAATTGGGTTTATCTCTTGTTATTTTTAAAGAAATACTTGATAGAAAAACAATAGAAATTCATCAGTCATACAAATTATATATTTTTCTCAAGTTTGATTTTTCTTTTATATTTTTAATGTTTATATATATGTATTTTATATATAGTTAAATATGTTTATCTATATTGGTTGTTAGGCTTATAAAATCTTTTCCACGTGGAAGTTACATAAAGCTTCCCCATATTTTCTCCTACTGCTTTTAAAATAATATATTTTTGTGTGTGTTTAAATGTTTGGTTTATTTATATATGTACACACACACATGTAATCTTTTTTTTGGGTCCTTTAGAAAGAAAGTCATGCGAAAGCCCTTCTGACTTCTCCAGCTGCTGGTATAAAAACAGTTGATCCCCTGCCTTTGAGGGAAGATTCTGAAATCAATATCCCCAGATTTGCTGAGGCAACTCTTCCAGTTTCAAAAATTTTAGAATATCCAACAAACACTCCTAGGCAGTCTCCTTCTCCACCCTGTGCTTCGTCCTACTGGCATCCCTCACGTCGAATCCAGGGCTCTCTAAGAGATCCAGAATTTCAGCATAATGGTAATTATTTTGGTTTTAACTTTTTGTCTTTTAAAATGAAAATATTATAGGTACAAAGTATGTACTATATGTTAATAAATTGTTATTTAGTTTTTAAATTTATTTTAATAGGAAAACTCTCATCTTTGGAACAGTTTATTGTAGTGTACCCAAGTTCACTTTTGTATACGTGTGAGGTGTGTCTCCAGTTTTTTCCCGTACAAATATTGGCAATGCACTAGATGCCAGTAGCACCCTTCCTCAGATGTGACAACCGAAAATGTCTTCAGACATTGGCAAATGTTGCCTGGATATAGAATTTAGGGTCATAAATTATTTCCCCTTAGGTTTATTTGGCATTGCTCTGCTTTTTTCCTAGCTTACACTGTTACTGTGAGAAGTCTATTGCTCTCTTTATTTTCGATCTTTTGTATGTGGCTTCTTTGGGGCAGCTTTTTGGGATCTTTATACCTAACGCTCTGAAATTTTACAGTGGGTCTCTTTTCATTCATTGTAATAGTACTCAGTAGATCTTTTCAGTCTGGAAACTCAGTTCCTCACTTCTGGGAAATTTTCTTGAATTATTTAGTCAGTAATTTCTTCCCCTCCATTTTCTGTTTCCTTTTATTTTGACACACCTATTAGTCAGGTGTTGGATATGCTGACCCTGATCTTATTTTCTCACCTCTCCTATTTGCCATCTCTGTCTTTTTATTTTAATTTGAAAGGGTTACTAATTTTTATTTTCTACCTCTTCTTCTAGTTTTTACAAAGAATTTGGCTATATTTTTAACTTTTAAGAATTTTTTAACACTGCATATTTCTTTTATACATCACCCTGTTTATTTTATGGATGGCATATTTTATCTCTTTCAGAAATGAATATGTATATAATCTCCCTGCTTTGAATGTGGTAACCTTGCCCTCAGTTGACCTGGTGTCCTTTAGTGAGGGTAGGTTTGTTCAGCCTTTAGAGATGAAACCTCCATTTCTCTTTTGGGAGAGGGCCAGTTACCCACCTGTGCAAATTTAAAGAAGGATCTGGCTGTTGCTTTTCTTTTTTAATTTTTCAATTATTGTTACTTTTCATATTATACTGTATCGGTTTCAGGTGTACAGCATAGTAGTTAGACAATCATACACTTTACATAGTATTCCCCACCAGTATTCCCAGTACCCAACCAGTTTCCTGTGCAGTTCAGTACTCCCCGAGGCCGAGCCATTAGGAGAATAAAGGGTGGCTTCTTGGTTTCCCTCTGCTGCTGCCTTAGGATTCGGCTGCTTGAGTATGATAGTAACATCCTCACTGCCCTTTCATTTGCTGTGAGTTTGTCTTCCATTTTCTTTCCTGTGGGTTTCTGTCATTTTTGTAAATGTGTATTCCATCTATATTTTTAAACAGAACTCTACTACATTCTTTCAAAGTTAAAATAGAGCAATACAATCACCGAAAAGAATTCTAGGAGGTTATCCATTGTTTGTTTACATATTTGTTAATAATAAAAAATTGTTAATAATTAATTATAAATTAATAAATGGCCCTTTGATAGTAATTTCTATTAAAGATTAAAAATTAATAATTTTTTTGACAGCCTACTTTCACTAAGGGTTTACTATAAAGATATACTGTTGGGTAGCTTTGAGAGATAATTTCTTCTGCCTTTTATTTTTAAGTGGGAAAAGCAAGGAAGAATTTCCAGTTACCTCAGCATGAAGCCTTTAATGATGAAGGTATTTCCATAGTCCAATAACACAAGATAAAAGTTTGAGGTTTTATTATATGGCAGTTAGTTCATAATAGTATTATGATCTTACAATTGATTAGCACTATATACTTCACGAAGTACTTCCACAGGGCTTACTTCATTGGATCCTTGAAATCTTGTGAGGAGGGTGAAGTTATCTCCATTTTACAAATGAGTAAACTGGGACCAGTGGCCCTGGGAATCTTTTCTAGGGCAAGCAGATGATAAGAGATTGAGCCTCACGTCACACTGAGGTTCGTACCCTTTCTCTTTTCCACCCTGTGGAGGTGGGGGCTCAGGAGTGTGGTTCAGCATTATATCCATCATTTTTTTTTCCAAATGGGCATATAGTCTTATCAATTTACTATTCTAAAAAAGAAAAATACAATTATGGAAAATGAACTTTTTTTCCTTTGTAGTTTTTATGATGATAAATTCATTTGCTTCTAATAGTGGCAGGAGAAATTTTGAATTCTTGATGTGAACAACTGAAATTACTATTTTAGCTTATCCTTAGAGGTATGAAATTACTGAATTTATTTTGGATTTGAATGAATACCTTATGTATTTTAAGTTTATGCACATTAAGATTTTCTCTCCTCTTAGTAAGTTTGGGACTTTTTTCATAATTCAGTGAACTAGAAATCAAGTTGTTATGTTTTCAAATGCAAATATCTGGACAATTTTAATCCAGTTCTGTTTTCTGTTTAATGGACAATGTTTACAAATAATCTTGTAATAGATTTGCTTACTCAGAGTGAGGAATTTCAATAATAATGAAAGGGTAGCATTTTAAAGTCAAATAATATTTTTATGTTAAGTAAGATTATTTTAGAAATGTGATGCAAGTACCATGTTAAGCTATGGCATTTTGTTTTAAAGAAGTTTTGAAAAGCTTTTTGATCAGAACAGCTGTGCTTTTGAAAGTAGGACAGGACAGTATGATGAATTGTTTCCAGGTAATACTGAAATCTTAAGCTGTGTGTTGAGGTGATGACATTGTGGGATTTCAGGAAGGAAACAGGATGCTCATTTAACATTTAAATGTTATTTCTGAATATGGTAAATTTGGTGAACTTGTGAACTATCCTGAAAATGTTAATATCTATATTTCAATAGATTACTTTTTTTCTGTCAGAATCAGTATTGACATTACAAAGCTTGATGCTTTTAATTTTCTGTTGTTATAAAACAATATTTTTATGAGGTATTTTTGTGCTGACTGTAATTCTTTCTTTGCAGATGAGGACAGATTATCTGAGATTTCTGCTCGCTCTGCAGCTTCTAGTCTCCGGGCTTTTCAAACTCTGGCACGAGCTCAGAAAAGGAAGGATAATTTCTGGGGCAAAACATAATTAAACATACACCTAGTTGAGTTGCTTTTATCTAGGGAATCAGCACAATTTTTCTTTATTGCTTTCTTACATTAAGACTTTTTAAGTGTTTGGATTTTTTCCCAACATTTCCTACTTAAGAAGAACTATTTGATTTTTCAATAGCCAATTCAATTTACTTGGAAAACTTTAACCCAGGTTTATACAAATTTAACTTTTAAATAATTCTTTTTACATCTATTCCAGATTCTGAAGACATAGATTATATAGTTCTTCACATGTTCTAACTTTTGTTTTAGGTGTTATGAGAGCTGGTAGAATTGCGCATTTTACCTACCCAGAGAATATTCTAAAAAGTGAGAAAGTGAAGTAAAAATTAAGAGCCCAGTGTGAAGTATATATTTCCCTAAGATTGCTTCTAATATCTTTATTATTGTAGATGTCATAAAATGAATTCTTTGTTCTTTTAAATGTTTCTGTAGTGCTTTTTATAGTACCTTCTGTATATGGTTACAATGTTAAGATACATTATTTTAGATTTAAAATACCAGCTGTATATATTTTTCTTATTTATGTAACAAAGTTTGCTGTGAGAATATGTATATTTTTTATCTTTGTGTTTATTCTGTTTGTATAAGGACTGGCTTACATTTGAATAATGTCTGAATTTTGAAAAATTATTTGTATAATGTAAAGTGAAAATTTTGTAGATATTTCAAAATAAAAATCAAGTATTTCAAGTGTTTAGCTTCTCCAGAATGTTATTACATGGGACAAATAATTATCTTTTATCTTTTAGAAACATTATACTCATAACAGGTTAGTGAACGGTTATAGTTCTTTTGCAGCAATCCAAATACAATACAAACAAGTCCACAAAATCTTTGCATAAATATAGGAAAACATAGAAATTTCAAGGCAGAATCATTCAAAAAAATTTAACACAAACTTTTTGACTATACTTTTTCACTCATAGGACATGTTGTGTTGTTTTCCTCTTTATCTTTTAAATCATGATACATTTAATTTTAAAAAATACAGATTTTCATTAAACAAACCAAATCTTTACAATAGTACATAAAGGTCCTGAAGATAAAATATACAGATTGTTTGTGCACATTGGTTAGAAAACAAATAATCTGTTCTAAATTGTTTTATTTGGTCAAAAGTGCCTATACAAAACCATCGATTCATAATAAGTTAGTTTGTTAAAGATATTAACATTATCATGATGTTTAAAGAACTGTGGGTATTACAATTATTTGCTTATAGTCCACTGACCTTTTAAAATAGTTTGTTGATTAAAAAAAAAAGTTTACCAAGGCACTAAAGATGGAAATAAAAGTTAGAAATTAGCATATAATTGGATTTTAGAACACAAACATCATCTTGGCTTCTGTACAAATACATACTGAGGCATGTTGTAAAATAAATTTGGAACTGCATTGGTTACTTCAGTTGATTAGGACAGAGTTTTTAATGGCTGACCATTGATCTACAGTAAAGAAAGGAACTATAGGTAGCTCACAGGGAACTGTGCATAACTCACAGTCTATCTTACCTAAGCTATAGACTAAAGTCTGGGTTCACCCATTGGAATAAATCACTCCACATGAACTTGATCTATCGAATGTTGGATGAATTAGGGTGTGGCTTTCATGAGGTGAAGGTACTACCCCAGTCTCTGTGTGACAGTTTATCTTTATAGCATACTACTGACTGCCTCTCAAAAACCCTACTCAGTGGCCCAAGGGTGAGGACAGTGTTGAGGGGTCAGTGTTGTTCCATCACTTGAAAGAGCATTTCAAAAGACATGCATTTGAATAGGTGGGTAAGTAGTTTACTTGAGGAATGTTTCATGAGGTTTGTTGGTATTTAGGAGCTAGGATTGTTAATGTTTTAACCAATTTTATTAAAGTATACTTTTATGTACAATAAACTGCAATCATTTAAAACATTATAGCTCAATGAGTTCGGAAAGAATGTATACATCTGTGAAACAAATACCACAACCAAGAAACATTACATTTCCATTATCCTAAAAGTTTTCTTACTTCCTTTTGCAATCATTCTGTCCGTAGAGTATACATCCAAATCAATGTTATAAAGTGGTGGTAATAATTTTTGTTGAAAGTGGTTATTTCACAAGTTGGACTGGGAAGAGAACATCAGAATCACGATGAAAGTTTTTTTCCAAAATGCACACACCTACCACCCCCATCTTTATCCTAGATCTGAGATTTCCATGTGTCCCTGGCTGAGAACCCAGATAAAAATGCGCAAATATGCATATATAGGGACTGCATGTTCATTTCTGCTCTCATCTCTGGATCTCTTTGGGAATCTGAACTCTTAAGAACCCTTAAAGGATGATTTTGAGAATTAAGGATAAAGAACATGATACATTGCTTAGTACATGGTAGGAAATGTTACCATGAAATTTAAGCATAAATATCTTCATTTTACAGATGGGAAAACACTCTTAGATTAAATGACTAGACCAAGATCTCATAGCTGGTCTTCTTACTCAAAATCTACCCATGCTACCTACTCTCTAGCGCTCAAGTTGGGAGTCCAACTGTGACTCAGTTCTCTGGTTGATTCATTTGGGAATTAAAATGTTAACTTTGCTTTCTTAGAAAGCACCTACCTTTTTAGTCAGGAAAAAAAGAGTATATGGACATATACATGTCTCATACAAATGGATTCAACCAGAATGAAATTGAGTTAACACTCAATTCAAGTTTGTCCTTATATGGAAAGAGCAGTGTTATGGTTGGCTACCCAGGATGGATTTTGTATCTTTGCTGTAATTGTAGACACTCAGAAAACATTTATCCTGACTTCTGAAAGTTTACCAAAGGAACAAATAATCCAAAATGCAAGTGATCCTAGAATCATTTACATTTGGTTTTGGATCATGTTTTGGGTACTTTCACTTGTGGTAGCATTGGGCATGTTAAGCACACTCAGGGCAACATGCTTTGTCAAAAATGCCATCATCACTCAGTTTCCCTAGGTGCGTCTGCTGCACACAGGCGACTTCAGGAACAATAAGTCTTCTGTCTCTGGACTAGCCATGGTTGTGCCCCGCTGGGCCTGGTCACGTGGGAGCTCTGAGAAGCCAGTCTGTCCCTCTAGCTTAACTCCCGAATTAAAGGCAAGCCAGTGGTATCTCCGACCCTTCGCTGCTCAACTTCACACTAATGTTGATCCTACACTCGGCTTTGACCACATGTGTCTTTCTCCTATGGTGAGTGGCGACACAAAAACTCAGCCTTTTTCTTTTCTCTCAGGTTGAGAGTCAAGCTTCCTTAAACTGTGTTTCATGTTTCATGCCCACCCTGGCCCTACAAGGCCTGTCAGGGATAGCAACCTTTCTCAACAGGAGGGCACTCTGCCACAGTGCTACGCCAGCTCCAAGGCAGTAAGAGGGAAAGAGTAGTCTTAAAGACGACATCCACTTCTCTCTCACTGAATGCTCTACCTGCTAGTCCCATCCATGCCACATCATGCTCCAGACCCTGTGAGAGCACGTCCTTGGAAACTGAGTGAGAGAGGAGGACTGGGGGGCACTCGGGACCTTCGGAAGTCAGAGCGTGAGGCTAACAGGTAGAGTGATGTTCGGGGAGTTCACAACCAATTCGAACTACCGAATGGACAATTTAGATAGTGTTGGGAAGTTATCCAGTTTCCCTCCAATATATTCTAAACCTAGTAGTGTGCTGAACCTGGTTTTTGGGCCAACTGTGAAATATTCAGAAATTTTGTGAGCAGGATATTAAGCTATCAGTAGTTTGAAATCTGCAATGGTGGGAATATTTCCACTATGGAAATGAGCAAATGTTATAAATCAGGGCTTCCTCCCCATTTTCACCCCACAGCAGTTTATGAGCCCACCGCTGCAGCCACTACACCAGTCTTGGCTTTTCTTTCTGTACTATTTTCTGATAAAATCCGCTCCAGAAAAGAGCAAGGAGGCAGCTCAAGATAGGCTCCTATACGTTTACTACACCATTCACACAGTCCTTGGCTTATAAAAATAAAGCACTTGGTTTAGTTTCTTTTCTTGGCTGAAGTCCACCTAAAAAATAAAAACAAGCCACAAATAGCAGGTAATAGACTGTAGAGGGAAACTACCTGTGACCCACCCATGGAACTAGCCAGAGACAGGGTCTGGAAATCTGTATGCGTGACTCCAGTTGATTCTGATACTCAGGCAGCCTGGGAGCCACTGGCGTTGGGTTATATCAAGCTTGAGCGAACTTGATTAGACTTCATTGAGCCTTTGTTCCTCATCTCCAAAGTTATGATTCAACGGTTCAAGGTCTGTAATGGTGTTTCCTATAGTCAATGTTATGTAATTCAAAAAGATTAGTTCTATTGTATTGAAGGCAAATTTTCTCTGAAACAATGGGAGAAAGGGGCGCGTGTCAGAGAGGCGAGGGTCGACTCTGGAAAGCAGGGGGCAGTGTTTCCTGAAATCGGGGCATCTCGCATCACAGCCGGTCTGCGATGACCTACATTCAGCTCACACAGAGGCCGTTTGGGGCAGGGGTGCTGAAATGATTTGTCTACTTCCGTTATGTGGTAAAGCAAAGAGTCTGTGACTACAGTGTTGTGACTCAGCGACTCTAGAAGGTGGAATCAATTACCTGATATATGCAAACTGTATTAGTGTAACCATGAATTGGAGATGTTATCAGGTATGAGTCAGGCGATGTGGAGATAAGGGACCCACAATAATTACTGATGAAAGGAAAGACAGTAAGGTCGCCCCCTGAATGGTGTTCAGCGGATATAAAAGATTTTCTATCTTGCTTGCTTCAAGTTATTTCTTTAAAATATAAATTAAAACTTAAAAGTTTTATAATTTCAAGAAAAAATGTGAACTAAATGCAAAATGTGAAGTGCCACACATTATGGGAAAATATAGATGCGTTACACTCATAAATTCAATTACAGTCATAGTTTGGGCATGTCATTCAGGAAAATTTTGCCCACAATGAGTACCTTTGCGTTCAATGTTCCCGTTAAAAATTATTCAGGTCAAAACAGTTACGGTTCTGAAGAAATCAAAGAAAAGTGAAAATCAGTTTGTATGACTATACTCACACTTTTGGTTCCCAAAGAATCAACAATGATACAAACTTTAACTTGTAACTTTGCAAGATGAAACATTTCTTTCTTTTTTTTTTTTTAACCTCACCCGAGGACATTTTTCCATTTTTTGTTCAGATAGAGTGGGAGGGAGAGAAGAGGAAGAGAGAGAGAGAAACATCGACGTGAAAGGGACACATCCAGTGGCTGCCATCCGCACAACCAACCAGGGCCGGGGACAAACTGCAACCGAGGTACATGCCCTTAGTGGGAACCAAACCCGGGTCTCTCTGGACCACAGGCCGACACCCTAACTGCTGAACCAAACCGACCAGGGCTGAAGTGTTTTCTTAATTAGAGAGTACAACCTGGCATAAACCATCACCCTAAATTAAGCATAACTTAATCATAAGTTAATTACTGAGAATGGTAGCTGCCAAGACTTTAAAAGCATCACAGATCCATGCTCTAAGAACATGGCAGTTTCTTTCATCATTTGGAATCAAAATGTGGGGACCAAGAAAAAAAAAATTTATTCAGATTTGTTTTTCCTAATTTGAAGAAATATAAATATACAGACTGAGACTAGTATATCACCGTGCACACTTCTTTAGTCACTACTGAAATAAAATAATGAAAATAA